TTAGTTAGTTAAACTACCCACCATGCCACCAATTCGTACTCAATCCTCTCGAAATTCAATAGAGCAGGAGGGTAGGATCTTGCTAGCTATCCAGGCCTTTAAGAATCAAGAAATCTCTTCAATTCGTGAAGTGGCCCGCCGTTTTAACGTCCCATGATCCACCCTTTCTACCCGCCTGAATGGTATACAACACCGCGCGATTTCTCGCGCCAATCTCATAAATTGACCGATACTGAGAGGAATCTCTTCAGAAATGGATCCTCTCTATGGATTCTCGTGGATCAGCCTCCCCGGCCCTCTATGGTACAAGAAATGGCAGATCTTCTTCTTCAAAAGCGTGGAACTACCCCGGTTCTTTCGGTCGGCGAGAAATAGGTATATAACTTCGTGAAACGGCATCCTCTCCTATCCTCCCGATTCTCAAAACGATATAACTACGAGCGTGCGAAATGCGAAGATCCTAAAATCATTGGGGAGTGGTTTGATTTGGTTCAAAAGACAATCCTTCAATTTGGAATCGACCCTCATGATATCTATAACTTTGATGAGACTGATTTTGTAATAGGATTGACTAAGACTGCGAATGTTATTACGAGGAGTGAATACTACGGTCGGAGGCCAGTTTTACAACCTAGAAATCGTGAATGGGTGACGGTGGTTGAATGAATGTACGAATGCTTCTAGGTAGGTGCTTCCTCCGTGTATAATTTTCAAAGGCAAAGTCTTTATTAATTCATGTTTAAACAGCCTCATAGAGGATTGGCGCTTCGGAGCAGCTAGTTTAGTACCATTTGCACCCGACCGAGTGATTTCAAAGCCTAACCCCCCCAGCCAGCCGGGGGAGTGAATCAAGCCGGAATTTCACCCCAAAAACCCCCTTTATGGAGAAAGAACTACGTCGTCAAGCTTCATCAAACAAAGCTTTACTTCGTACAAGATCTCGAAGCCCACCTAGCCCGTCAGATCGTGCATTAAACCAGCTTGTAAAAGGCTTCCGTCTTACAATTGAAGGTGCTATCTTACTCGCTAAAGGAAATAAGGATTTACGCGCCGCCAACGAGAAGCAGAAGCAAAAGCGTACTAGATCCCGGAGGCAGATACCTGCTGAAGAAGGCCTTTCAGTTCAAGAAGCTTCTCAATTGATTACTGAGCCGGTGGAATCAATTGAAGCGCCTCCTCCCCCTCCACGAAGAAGCCCTTCGCCGGCTTTACAACCACGTACACGGGCCCCACCAAAGTGTAGTTGTTGTGGAGAAATAGCACATAGGATTAATATATGCCTAGCTAGATAGATCATTTTAGTATATTTAATTTAAGGCGTTTTGGTTGAGATAAATGCATTTTAAATTAAGAAGTTGGTTGGGGTGGCCAGCTCGCTTACCGAATACGTTAGTAAGGCTATCGAGATAGGCTTGGCTTGGCTTCTTGATTCTTGTTGAACGGCGTAGCTGCTCATTGATTGGGCTGTATAGGCTGAGTTAAAACGTAGCTCCTATCCTATCTTCTGTTATCAGGAATAGGATAGGATCTATATGCGAGAAATTGATTGGCGTTTGAGCTCGTCCTCGATCGTGTTCAAGAATATCCTCGGGAGTATCCTCATTGATAACCTGCCGGGAAGTAGGCTGTGACTCGACGAGAGTCCCTCGCTTACCTACGTTAAAGTGGGCACTAGTATCCTCCCGTTGTGCCTCTACAGTCCTACCAAAGCTACCCGCTCTTTCATCATCGTCTTGTATTTCGAAGGAATCGGGGTTTATAAGATAGGGTTTAGGAAGGTAGGGTTTAGGAAGGTAGGGTTTAGGATTCGAATGGTAATTAGACTAAGAGTATGCGAGATCTTCTTTTAAGAGTGCTTGGATTCGCTAGGTTAAGAATATTCGGAGCCCTTTTTACTCTGTATTGTCAGGATCGTCCTCTACCGTAGGAGAGGGCGGAGAATTAGGTTGAATGTTAAACGGATTGTCAAGATAAGGTTGAATTTGAAGAAAGTCAATTGGAATGTGACGATCTTGCGAATGATTTCCCCGTAGATTTGTGCTAGTAATATTGAGATCATAGGTAGGATTCGGAAGACTTGTAGGAGTAGGGTTTTAATTGAAAATGATATATCGTGAGCGTTTAATCTTTTTCGTACGCACATTGTATAAGATGCAATTGTCACCTTGGTCGTAAGCGATCAATCTCGCTTCTTCTATATAGGGGTTAAGCTTTGTATTCCGCTTCTCTTTAGGAATCAAGAACTAGTATTGGTAGCCAAGAACTCGAAGGTTAGAAAGATCAGGCTTCTTCCCGAAGAGAGCTTCGTATGGAGATATGCCGATTTTCGAAGCATAAAGCCGAATTATGGTGTAATTGATACCGCCAAGAAGTAAGCCCTAAAGGTATTTCGGTAGTTGGTATTCACCTATGATCGCTACCAGCGGTTCAATAAGATAACGATTTTTGATCTCTGCGACACCGTTAAGCTGCTTAGTGTACGGTGGTGTTGGGTCCCACACTGTCCCCTTGCTAGCAACGTAAGTAGCCAGTGGTTTATGCTCTATCGTATTATCGCCGTGAACCTTTTTGATAGTGTAGTTAAACTGTGTCTTGAGATAGGTTTCTAACTGGATATAAACCTCAGTGACGTAAGAGCGCGATTTTAAGAGATAAAGCTATATAAATCTAGTGGTATTATCCGTAAATGTCACGAAGTAATGCTTACCACTATCAGAAGGAATAGAAATTGGTCCCTAGACGTCTAGATAAATGAATTCACTAGGTTTCAATCTATTAGATCTCTCCTTACTAAAAGGTAGTGTATAACCCTTACCCTTAATGTATGGAACACAAGGAAAGGAGACACCGGCGCCTTTCTTTAGCTTAACGCTATTAGCAAAAGTCTCTATCTTTCGTATACGGTCCTCGCCGGCGTGACACGCACGACGATGAGCAAGATCGATTGAAATTGGGGTGGAATTGATAGCGAAAATCGAGTTAGGAGATCTAGTGACAAGGTTACATTCCAGCATATAGTCAACCTTATTAATGCCGGCGTAGTTCATTCAGCTAGTAATGCTCCCCTTCGTAAGTAGCCCAATAGTAGATTTAGGGCTATACTAATGCTAATGTTTGAATATCATTATACCATTTTTAGCCTATGTGCGAATATCTGCCTTATCGAGGGCAGATATAGAGATTAAACTGGGAGAATAACTATATGCACACCCCTTAGCGCCATTTTTTACTATCTGCACACCTTTAGTCCTTTTTAGGTATAGCCTTTCTTGGCTAACCGCTTGTCATCATTTGTGTAATTTAATATGGTATCCGCTTAGTAAATGACACCCTCATCACCTGACTCTTGGCCACATATAACCCTGCATCAAAATCGGAGATCATGTGCCTGTTCCACAATTCATATCGCACAGTAACAATTCCACGACACCATAATAAATTTTTGAAGCTATTCACAGATCTCATTTTGTATCCTGCTATTGATCACTTAATTTACATGTTCCTGGCCTGGTTTGACTGCCTCGCTCCCCGAGAACCCCAGGGTAGCTGCCCACTTGTTGAGCTCGGTAAGACCTCTTCTGGGGTGGCAAATCGGTCGATCGGGGGAGGCGATTCCCATGGTTCATATGCTTCGGTAGGCAGGGGAGGAGTATTATAGTAAGGATCCATAATGAGATCTGTGAATAGCTTCAAAAATTTATTATGGTATGGTGGAATTCTTACTGTGCGATGTGAATTATGGAGCAGGCACATGATCTCCGATTTTGGTGCAGGGTTATATGTGGCCAAGAGTCAGGTGATGAGGGTGTCATTTACTAAGCGGATACCATATTAAATTACACAAATGATGACAAGCGGTTAGCCAAGAAAGGCTATACCTAAAAAGGACTAAAGGTGTGCAGATAGTAAAAAATGGCGCTAAGGGGTGTGCATATACAACATAGTCAAACTCTTCCCAAAGTATATGCGCGCTTTTCCCCCAGGATGAGCTAGCCAGTAACAATATTGACAAAGCGGAATTTCTTTCAACTAGTCATCGGGGTATTCATCCTTCATGTTACTAACAAACTTCCTCTCCCTCTCATCCCATCGTTTGAAATGCTTACCCGCAATGGCAGTCAAACTACTCGGCAGTTGAGTGAAGTGAGGCAGAATTATTCCAATATTCTCCTCAGCCACATATCGGACACTTCGATCTGCCACGCTATGTTTACTGTTAGCCAAGAAGAGGACACAAGCAAAAAACCACCCACAGCACATGATAGAAGCTCTGGTGTCTGCCAGCTTCTAATCGATCAATACCCATTCTTCTCATCCACTGTTCGCCGGCACCACATTCCGAGTCCCAGCCGGTGATAATAGCCTCGTAATGATAGCGACGATGACGGAAAATCTGGCCCACCTTGTATTGTATATTTGCATTGCCACCGGTTCGCCTCCGAACCTGTTTTGGGATCTCATCCACAGCCCTCATCACATGAAGGCTCTCTAGTATGTGCTCATGCTCGAACAGCCCACGAAACAGAGGAGCGATATGCTGCTCGATTAGAAATATATCACAAGGAAAGTCTGTCGCGAACAGGTCCATGAGCCATGGTAACTGATGGCGTAGATCCATCGGCCTCGAATCACCTGACAGGAGCATCACAGACCAGAGTGCTGCGTATTTTGCGCTCACAGCATTTATCGAGGGGGCAAGCGAGGTCGGATTTCGAGGTTCGACGCGAATCGAGTTCAATACGTTTTTACCACAGCGCAAGATAACGCTTGAAGCCGATGCTTCACTCAGAGTTGCAGTCTGATCCATGTCGGACATGCCCAGAAATGTTAATTGGCTGCGCAGGTTTGAGATAGCAGTCTCTCTTGCACCCCGAAACGGATCCAAGTAAAGTGGCTCCCCTGGCTCCATTCCACTCAAAGCGTTACCATTGATGTCCGAGCCTAGCTGGGGGGTGATGATCACATGCACATGGAACGGAAATCCACAAGGATGGGCGTTTAGGCCCACCCGCTGCGCAACAAAGCAGTATATCGCAGCTGACACCAACGGTAGAGAGTTATGCCCTGGATCTTTTAGAGCCAGCCCTAGAAAGTTATGCTCCAAAGCATGATACTCTCGCTCTGGATTTATCCCCGTAAGATTATTCGCTCCTAGCCAGGATGCTATGGCCAGTGCTTTCTCACGGGGGGTGAGAAGGTAAAGATCCGGGTGAGACGCGACAAAGCGGTTGAGGATCTCATCCAGAGAGTCTCGTATCTAGATCAGGTCAGGTAAAAAAAAGTCGAGGGGATAAACTGAATTAAGACATACTTCATCTAAATCCCCAGTTCCACTTTCGGGTATAAAGAGATCAAAGCAGGCTAAGGCTCGGTCGAGTGACACAGGTTCTCCGCGTTTGAGTTTCGCCCATTCTGGGATGGCAATGCTTCGATGCAGGCAAGTCAAGAGCGCGTGGGCATAGTACCTTTTGTGGTCAATTCAAGGGAAACACATGCCATCTTGCATAGAATCAGTAGCCCACCTTCTGGCCAAATGGTCCTCCCCAGACTCTATCAGGCTACATCGCAAAAGAGTATCCTTTGCATCGTACCCCATATTGACAACACGGCGAAACTTTTCGATCCGGCCGGTCTGGCTAACAAGAATACTATCAAGAAGCCGAGTGACAGATCTATCAACCTGATACTTGAAGACAAAGAGCGCTTTCCAATCGGTTGAATTCACTGGGCAGGCAAGCTTCCGGGGCATCTCATGTCGCCCATCCCAGAACCTGTAATGTGACTGGCAATGGTGACGCCATAGTAAATGCTCATTTGTTACATTTTGAAATCGACGGTTGGTTTGTTCGACCGCAGCACAGGATTGAGGAGAAGAATAACATAGAATCGAATGCAGTATCTCGTCTGGAAGATGGATTAAAGACCGAACCATCCCTGAAAGTGGAAGATTGATGATGATGGGGGAAGAAGACAGAGGAGAGGGCAATCAGAACAGAAGAATAGCCGTTTTACATTCCTCAATAAGTAAAAGAGAAGAAACCCAAATCAAAACTTATTTCAGGAAGTTAGAGGATCATGTAGGAAAGCAGGAAATACCAGCATTGAGGCATTGAGATGTTTCTCCCCGCTTTTGTTATCGCCTTATCAAAAACGCCAAGCCTTGAACTTCATTGTAGGAATGTTTTTTTTTTCCCTTCCGTTCTTCAATTCTTCTGCTTATGGAAACCTGTAAACAGTATTCTTGTTTTACCGTTCTAGTAATCTACTTGGGATGTTTGCAATGAATTACTAAAATACAAAAAGTTGCTTCAAAACAACCGCCGGCGATTATTGCGGTATTCGCCACACTCCCCCCCGTTCTCTCCCTCTCTTCCACGCGATGGGCCAATTTCATTCCACTAGTCAGTCTAGCTCGAGCGCTTTGGAAAAATTAGACCAGAAGACCGACTATTACGAGCTGCTTGGTGTAACCCGCGATGCAACAAATGATGAGTCAGTTCGCATGGATATGCGATTATGGACATTTACTGAAAACTTGCCTGCCGCAGGATCAAAAAAGCATATCGAAGAAAAGCTCTCGTATTGCACCCAGATCGAAATTATGGGAATGTTGATGAGGCTACCAAGCTGTTTGCCGAAATCCAATCTGCCTACGAAGTACTGGCAGATCCTCAGGAACGAGCATGGTACGACTCCCATAGCGATGCATTTTTAGGGACCAACGGAAATACCGATGATCAACACTCGTACAACGTTCGGATTACAACAGCCGAAGATGTCCTCAGACTCTTTTCGAAGTTCAGTCCTCGAATGGAATTCTCTGATTCCCCAACCGGATTCTTTGGTGGTTTGCGAGAGCAATTCGAACAGCTCGTGCTGGAAGAAAGATTGGCCTGTCGGTGGGAGAATCAAGATCCTGTTGAATACCCATCATTCGGATCTGGTAACGATGATTTCGAGACCGTTGTACGGCCCTTCTATGCTACCTGGACCGGATTCTCCACCCAAAAGTCGTTCGCATGGAAAGATGCTCATCGTTATTCTGAAGCGCCTGATCGTCGGGTGCGGCGAATGATGGAAAGAGAGAACAGGCGTCTTCGGGAGGAAGGCATCCGAGAATTCAACGATGCTGTCAGGTCCCTCGTAGCTTTTGTCAAGAAACGTGATCCGCGGTATAAAGTCAATGCCCAAAGTGAAGCTCAACGCCAAGAAACCCTCCGCCAGTCTGTGGCTGCACAGGCTGCAAGATCACGAGCTGTGAATCAAGCTAAAATGCGGGATCATATCCTCCCCGAGTGGGCCCAATCAGAGCAACCAGTGGCAGATGACGACCAGGAGAGCAGCGAAGAAAGTGAAGTCGAGAGTTTTGAATGTGTGGCATGTCACAAGTATTTCAAAAGCCAGAAGCAGTTCGAGGCACACGAACGTAGCAAGAAGCACTTGAAGGCAGTCAAACAGCTGTGCCGGGAGATGCGAATGCAGAACCACGAGTTGGATTTGGAATCCGCTGATGAATCGAGTATAAATGCAGTTACAACTAACCCTCTCGGGGTCGATGACGGGAAAGTTGAGGTTTCTGCTGCCTCAGATGTCGAACTGGAAGTAAATGCCTCTGTGCAGAGTCACGACGTTCCCGCTGATGACCGAAAAAGTTCGCATGGTCTAGAGGAAACAACTCCCCTTTCCGAGCCAGATACCCCAACGTCTTCGCACGACGACGATTATGCCTCCAGGGAATATGTTGAGACGAGGCTCCGCACTGATATGGATCATTTGTCCACAGGTGCTGGAGATTCTTCTGGTCATCCGCTCTTTTCGGGCCTCACTGGGGAGTCACCAACTCCCAAATTGGGCAAGGCCAAACAGAAACGGGCGAAAAGGGCCGCCAAGCAAGCGGATCAACCCATGGCCTTCATTTGTGCGAATTGCCAGGCTCACTTCGCGTCCAAGACTAAACTATTCGATCATCTTAGAGACCTTGACCACGCAGAACCCTTGTTGAGGTCTATTGCTAAAAAGGGGAGGAAACACTAGTAAATACATCACTGAGGCTCATTTACCGCTTTGCATTGCTTTTCTTTTCTGCCTTTTTTTTAAAAAAAAAATTTTTTGCATCAAGTCCGTCAAGTCTTTTATTTCTATTTTCTATGCTTTAACAAGCCTGCGCATGCCGGCTGGGAGATCTTCCCCTTTTTTCTAACACAAACCCAACCTCTAACCTAACCCAGCCCGTGAGTTCTTTACGACCTGCGCGACAGGCTGCAAGATTCCCTTGTTGTCAGCAGCACCCAGAGCAGTACCTGTACTCCATCCCATTTTCTCCAGCATAGCCCGCCCTCGGTTTTCAGCTCCAATTTCAGGAGCAGAGGCGCCAACCACATCACCATCCATGTATGAAGTAGCACCGGACTTTCCACGCTTGGTTTGGGGGAATTTCGGCACTTCCGTGCCCCATGATTTGAACAACCGACGGTTGAACCTCCTCCCAGATAACAGATCGTCAACGTTGGATATAGTCTTTGGTGTGTATCGCGGAGTGCGCGTCGTCTTGTTGAGAACTGGGAAGCGAGAAAGTCCATGGCCGCGTGACTGTGATTTCAGATTCAGCGCATTGGCCAATTCATGTATCAGCTTTCTGCGTTGCTTGGTCATGGGCGGCAAGGACAGGCTATATTGAGTTAGCTATGTCAATGAGAATCAGCAGATCTAAAACAAACCAATTTTTAGGAGATATAAGGAATGAGCGAATCTCGGTCATAAATTCCTCCATGTTCATTTCCTTAGGGTACTTGACCTTGAGGTCTGCGTTCCCTACTTTCCTGCCCAGCAATCCTTGCGCCCGGAGCTCTGCCCGCTCTTTCTTCCGTATCCTCTTTTTGGTCCTGTCGTTCTGCCAGGCCTCCTCCTGTAGCTCGATTTCGAATTCACTGTCGGATAGTACCAGGTCGGAGATAGACTGTTTGCCCTTGGGTTGTTTCCGTAGACTTGACCGATCAAAGTCCATTATGTCAAACCCGAAATATGGATCAGACTCAATGGCATCCGCAAAAGCCGACGCTGATGGAAATGAAGGCTTTCCATAACGGGAACCCTTCTTGGTGTACCCAAGATATCCGTTTACCGGGTCCTCAAGCAGCACAAAGCCTTCAAGAGTGTCATCGCCTGATCCAGATGTGACCATATCATCCTCGTCATCTTTGCTTAGTGGAATTGAATCAGGTTCGGTGTCGATTTGCATTTGAGCTAATGATCTTGGTGATCCAATTTTAGAGCTTGTGGGGCTCGAGGCTGACAGGTCGAGTTGCGTTGAGGCTTTTTCGACGTCAATGCCACCTTCTAGGTCAATCCTTGCACCGGATGTCACTTCCTCGTGGTAGTCATTGTCGATATTGGCAATATAGTCGGCTATTGGGTCTATCTCTTCTTCCAGTGGCCAGTCTGGTCTCTCCGTGTTGGATTTAAGATTGTCTGTAGTGATAGCGGCAGGCGAAGGATCCCGGAGCATAGGGTTCAATGTCAGTGTGTGTGATTTCTGCACAACTGCGACAGTAGTCGTCCGCGAAATTTGCTGAATCTCGTTCTGGTGTATTTCGAGGAGAACGGGTACTGTGTTCCTCCTGCGGCCAGTGAACACAACCTCATCCTCACTCGAGTCGTCTATGTCCGATAAGCTCGACTGCAGTACTGGGTCCGAGTGCTCAGTACGAACAACCCCTTGTCCCTGTGAGTCAAAGAAGAACGGAACTTCGGGATCAGCCTTTTTGTCCGATAATTTGTCGGTATTTAGGTTTTCCCGGTCCGTGTCTGATTTTGCCTGCTCCTCGTTTGCTTGTTCTAGTGTCGGTTCCAATGTCGGTTCCAGGCTTCCCGCGCTCACAAAGTGGACGGATTTATGTCGAAGGTTGCTGTCTGACCATGCTCGCTGATGGGTTTCTGTATTCCGAGCTTCTTGCTGCATAGTAAACTGATGTGGCAATGGATCTTCTGAATTTTTTGAACTGGTTAGTTTCCATCAAACAGATAGAAGCACACCAAGTACCTCTGATCGTCGGTGCCCGCCTGTTACGGGCCTTGCCTTTCCCATGGCGGGCCATGGAGGTAAATGTGATCTGTTGATGGAAAGAGGAAGTGATGAGGGGGGAAATTAATTTGCCTTTGGGTCATGTCTGGGCGGTGACGGACATGTCCTGTAGCCAAGTAACTAATAACAACGTGAAGGGGTTTTATCAGACCTACGTGTATTTTGTTTTTCTTGTAATTGATTTTCAGGATTTTCTATCTTTTTTTTTTTCGAAAACTAAGAGGCAATTACAATTGTAGAGTATAGGGTGTAGATTGCATGCACCGTAGTGACGTCTTAGCCCGTGACTGAAGACTCCCCCTCACCAGGATATCATATTCATGTCTTTAGCAAGGGAAGATTCGACTTATCTAGGGCTTTTACCGATTTTCATCATTTTTCTTTACCATCTTCCTTTTTGTTTGTGGTTTTCCTTGGCTCTTTCTACGGTGACCTAGGTTGAACACTTGTTTTAAATTTCCGAGTCAGCTTTCAGGTTGGATAGGGAGAGAGAGATATATCTACTCACCTCCAATATTGGATCACTTACCCCATTCATGCCGAAAGCCACCATACCTCCGACAGACCCAACACAGCAAATCGACACCAACCATGACCGTGGACATGGAAAAGTGCAAACGTATAGTCCAATATTTCTGGGACCCAGAACCCACAAACAATGTACCTGCGGCGTCGATATGGTGCCTGGGCAAGGAGTATGCCCCCCCGCAACCATTCAGTGACCCGGCCAGTGAGTCCTGCCGAAGTGAATATGCAACCTAATGTCCCATCTTTAACCACCTACACAGCCAACAACCCGCACAGCTCCTCAGGACAGCCCGATGCAAGCACACTGAACGACACAGCATGGCCAAATGCCTTTGTTTCTGATTTTGAATCGAGGATCTGGATCACATATCGATCAAACTTCACACCGATCCCACGAACAAAGTCACCAGAAGCAATATCCTCCTTGACACTAGGAGTGCGTCTGAGAAGTCAGCTGATGGACCCCCAGGGCTTTACATCAGATACCGGATGGGGCTGCATGATCAGATCTGGACAAAGCCTTTTAGCAAATGCTTTCTCAGTTCTACTACTAGGGCGAGGTGAGAGATGCGTCTAATTCTGTGACAAAAAATCCCATACCCACCCACCCACCCCCAGCACTCAAAAAACCAGAGTTAATCAGACATACTATGCATAGACTGGCGCCGGGGGGAGAAAGAGGAGGAGGAGTCAAAGCTAATATCGATGTTCGCTGATCACCCCGAGGCTCCCTTCTCTATACATAAATTCGTCAATCGCGGTGCAGAATCATGCGGAAAATACCCGGGTGAATGGTTTGGGCCGTCGGCAACTGCTAAGTGTATTCAGTCCGTGTTGCCAAAACCCGAGCAATAGAGTGATGCTGATCGTGATAGGCTACTTTCAACCCAAAGCGAGGCACATCGACTCAGGGTGTATGTGACCAATGACACATCGGATGTATACGAAGACAAATTTGCACACGTTTCCCACGACAGATCAGGTTGTATTCAACCAACACTCATCCTGATTGGAACCAGGTTGGGGATCGAGAATGTCACTCCAGCGTACTGGGATGGACTCCGAGCTGCATTGACATATCCCCAATCCGTTGGCATTGCAGGGTTGGTCCATGCATCTGTTTGTGTATATGATACCAAGCATGCGCTAATTAAAACAGCGGACGCCCATCGGCATCGCATTACTTTTTAGGGGCTCAAGACTGCCACCTCTTTTTCCTTGATCCGCATACCACCCGTCCTGCAACACCTTATCGACCAGATGAGCTTTACACTCAAGAGGAACTGGATAGCTACTACACCAGCCGACTACGGAGAATCCATATCAAGGACATGGATCCTAGCATGCTGATTGGATTTCTCATCAAGGACGAAGAAGACTGGGCTGACTGGAAGAAACGAGTTCAATCCACTCCTGGACAGCCCATTGTGCACATGCTCCCCTGTCAGCATCAGCCAGATAATGGCCAAGGTCGAGCGGAGGCACTGGACGAAGTTGAGGCACTGGACGATTCAGATGAGATTGAGTGAGTTGTAGACAAACCAGGAGATGCAGGAAGCCTTTTCTTTTTTCTTTCTCTGATTCGCGCCCAGATAAAATTTACCAGAAAAGAGAGAAATAGAATCATGATGCAATGCAATTAAGCATTTGGAATTTCGCGTTCTAGTAGGGGGAGGCCAATCCATGCCTGCCCCAGACCCGAGTTATGTTACACCGCATTCACGTATCGAGTGGTAACCATTCAAAAAAAAATCACCCATCGGGGAAAAGAAAATTCAAGCCATCCCATGACGCATTAGAAACCCGCAAAACACCCATAACCGACCGCCTCAGAGCCCATAACAGATCAAGAGGCAGTAAAAACAAAAGCAAGCTGGAAAGAAAACGTAAAAGAAGCCGCTTATTTGGCGGAAGAAGAGTACTTGGTCACAGCCTTGGTGCCTTCAGAGACGGCGTGCTTGGCAAGCTCACCGGGGAGGATAAGGCGCACGGAGGTCTGGATCTCCCGGGAGGAGATAGTAGACTTCTTGTTGTAAGCAGCCAACTTGGAGGCCTCGGTAGCCACACGCTCGAAAATGTCTGGAAAAGGAACAAGTCAGAATGTTTGAATTGATAATAAAACGCGTAAACGCAATTCCCCCCCCTCATCCGGGGAAGTCTGCGCGAAGAAAGAACATACCGTTGACGAAGGAGTTCAGGATGGACATAGCACGAGTGGAGATACCAGTGTCGGGGTGGACCTGCTTGAGGACTAGAAATGTATAGTAAGTATTGACGCGTTCTTATGGAAATGGATACTGTATTTCAAAAAATAACCCACCCTTGTAGATGTAAGAAGAGTAAGTCTCCTTGCGGGTCTTGCCGCGCTTCTTCTTCTCGCCGGTGGCAGCGCTGGCAGTCTTTTTGCCAGCCTCCTTCTTCTCAGCAGGGGCTTTCCCGCCAACAGGGGCCTTGCCACCAGTGGAGGGCTTCTTCTCAGCGGCCTTAGGGGGCATTTTGAATGTAGTTGAAAAGTCGGTTTTAAAGGTGGAAGAGTAAAGAGTAAAGATGAATGAAACGTGTGGTTGGGAAACAGAGATGATATGTGGAAGGTGAAGTTAGAGAGACGCGGTGACGAGGGGAGACAGCGTCTTTATACTCGTGTTCCAAAGGCCGGTTGATCCTGGAGGGGGTGCAAAGGAGGCCGAATTTCAATACTGTAACAACCTGGTATGATCTGTATGATCAAACTGACATTGACGCGTCTTAAGGTGGGAAAGGTGGGTTATGTTCACGCTCAGCTGACTGTCAGGTATGGTAATGGAAACATATTATCACACCATTCCTGAAGGGGAATGTCTGATCTGATTGATCATTGGCTGCAAGATCTAAGCGAGACCGTGATCTGGAGGGCCCATTGATGCTGCCCCAACGTCACCCTCACCGCGTCCTTATAAAGGCCCTCCGCTTCCACACGCTCTCACACCTGCTCCTGCGACTTTACACCATAACTCAAGCTCTCCACCTCCAAACGACTTCAATTTCTCACCCACCAAGACCCTCCCTTTCCTTCCCCAAAACAAACCATCAAAATGACTGGCGGAAAGTCTGGCGGCAAGGCTAGCGGCAGCAAGAATGCGCAGTCGTAAGTTGTTTACATTTCGCGTCTTTGTATATTAAATACTGACATCAATATCTTCAGTCGTTCTTCCAAGGCTGGTTTGGCGTTCCCCGTTGGCCGTGTCCACCGTCTGCTTCGCAAGGGAAACTACGCTCAGCGCGTCGGTGCCGGTGCTCCCGTTTACCTCGCTGCTGTTCTTGAGTACCTCGCTGCTGAAATTCTCGAGCTGGCTGGAAACGCTGCCCGTGACAACAAGAAGACCCGTATCATTCCCCGTCACCTTCAGCTTGCTATCCGCAACGATGAGGAGCTGAACAAGCTCCTGGGTCATGTCACCATTGCACAGGGTGGTGTCCTTCCCAACATCCACCAGAGTACGTCTTCGTCATCTAAATCTATCTTTGTGTAATATACACTAACTTAATCTCCAGACCTTCTCCCCAAGAAGACTCCCAAGGCCGGCAAGGGTAGCCAGGAGCTGTGAAGGCTCTCTCTTTTTTTTCCTCGCAGTTTGTTCGTTTTTTTTTTCCGGCGCGGATTGGTTCTTTGACACGATAATGGGGTTATGGGACGGGCACGTTATGGCTCTGCGTTTTCTTTTTTTTTCTTCCTCTCTCTCATCAATTTCCTGGTTGTACATTATGTCTACGGACATGGAATGATACCGACGACCTTAACTCGCTTGAGGGATTTCAACTTTCGGATACTAGCCCTGGGCATGAGCCCAAAGCAATGAAAACTCCAGGTCTTTCAAGTGTTAAATTTACCAACTTGCCTTCAATGCTCCATCCATTCTTGTATCACGTAAATAATGTTTCTGGGCGAATTGTTCCTCCTGTGGTAGTTAATTTAATTGAATGAAATTGTCGATGCTAGATTCCGATTGTGTATTCTACATCTGCAGGAAAGACACGCAAACCTAAATGCTGCATAGTTCATGTTTGCAATTGGCCAAGTCTCACATTGTGTTTTGCAATAATCATTTGGCTTAGTGTGCAGCGGGAGGTTGGGCATCTATATAATCTCATGGTTAATGCAGATCGAAGGTTTCCTGGGGACGTGAACGTACATGGCAGGATTGGGGCCGGGAGGTTGCGTTCCCATTTGTTACCGCCGGGAGCAGTAGGTGCCCGGTATGGGTCAGGGTGCTTCCAGGTGGCCAGAAGCTTCTCTGTCTCACGCAGCAAGACCTAGAGCATGTGTTAGGTTTACCAACCATAAAATTCACAGTTTTGCATACCTGTTGCTGGCGAGGATCGCGGACGTCCTTGTTGGCCTCAAAAAGGGACCGGATATAGACTGCTTGTCCACGCCAGACTTGCCGCTGGACAGCCCAGTCAAGAGATAGTTTCAAAGAGCGCCGGTAAAGCGACCTATAATAGATGAGTGAACAGTCCGCTAGGGGACACCAGCGAACTCACTTCACAGCGGAGGTGGACATTGTGCTCAAGTTTTGTCCCGGGTCCAATTCCGGCCAACTGAAAGATGAAAAGGAAAATAAGAAAGCAAATTTGCAGATGAAACAGGTCTACCAAACAAAAATGACAACCTTGGAAATTGATAGGGTTCTTGGTGAACAAAATGTTGGAGTCGAGAGTTTCAATGTCGTCAGGTCGACTATTCTGGGCTTCCTAATTCGTTCGGTATAAACTTGCACAAATGGTCACCGCCCGCCCCCGTATTGCAAATTGCCTGAATGGCCTCACTCCGTCACCGTAGTGCAAGAAGAATAGTCCGCCTCTGCCGGAAGGGTACCCGGTTTACCTTAGGGCCCGATCTAATCCGAGCTTCATCTCCTTTGCTTCCTCTAATATTTAGAGTCGAAGCTTTTTCTTGGTCTCACGAAACCGGTTCGGCTTTTTCCAGCTGATTCACCTCTTTTTAAACTCATCATGGCTTCTCGAATCTCTATTGCGCGCCTCTCGGGCCAGCGCTTCTCGGCTGTGGCCAGAACCGCTCCTCGGGCACCAAGCCAGTTCCGCAATGTCAAGGGATTGTCTACCCTCACGCGGAAGATTTCAGCTCGCTCAGCTTCAGGCTTGTTGCAGGTCTCTTCCTCGGGGTAAGTATCCATGTCATTACCACCCGTCGCAATTTTAGCTCATACAACCCTATAGCGTCAATGTCTCGCGGCTCAATCTTGGTCCTCTGGGAGGCCACCAACTTCGCACCTATGGTAAAAGCTTTTTCCTCAAGCTTTCTTATTGTCCAATTGCTAATAGTGCTTAGCCGACTCCATCATCAAGGTCCCCAGCATGGCTGAGTCGATTACAGAGGGTACCCTCAAGCAATTCTCAAAACGTATGGTGCCTTGGCCGTGATTAAACATTTGATATTTACTTATTCTGGTGTAGAGGTTGGCGATTTCGTCGAGCGCGACGAGGAGATTGCGACAATTGAAACAGACAAGGTAAAATCTCGACTATGCTCCCACCCTTCACGGCTAGCACTGTTGCTAACATAGATTTTCTGTTAGATTGATGTTTCGGTTAATGCCCCGGAGTCTGGTACCATCAAGGAGTTCCTTGTGAACGAGGAAGATACCGTTACTGTCGGCCAAGATCTCGTCAAGATCGAGCTTGGCGCCGCTCCTGAAGGCGGAAAGAAGGACGAGGGTGCCGAGAAGACCAAGGAACCCGAACCTGAGGAGTCTGAGCCCAAGAAGGATGCTTCGCCCGCCCCGATCGAGACAGAGAAGCCCAAGGAGCCCGAACCTAAGAAGGCTGCGCCCCCTAAGGAGGCTCCCAAGGCGGAATCCAAGCCCCAAACCACTGAACAGCCAGCTCTTGGTGGTCGCGAGGAACGCCGGGTATGTTGACCGCCTATAGGCCTTCGATCTTGACTTAGAGCTAATTTTTGGTCCAGGTCAAAATGAACCGTATGCGTCTGCGTATTGCCGAGCGCCTGAAGCAGTCCCAGAACACCGCCGCTTCTCTCACCACTTTCAACGAGGTTGACATGTCCTCGCTGATGGAGTTCCGGAAATTGTACAAGGACGATGTGCTCAAGAAGACTGGTGTGAAGCTTGGTTTCATGAGCGCTTTCTCCCGTGCTTGTGTGCTTGCCATGAAGGATATCCCCGCCGTCAACGCTTCCATTGAGGGTCCTAATGGCGGTGACACCATTGTCTACCGCGACTACGTTGACATCAGCGTTGCAGTCGCCACCGAGAAAGGTCTTGTGACCCCCGTTGTTCGTAACAGTGAAGGCAAGGATCTTGTCGGAATCGAGAAGGCCATTGCCGATCTCGGAAAGAAGGTGAGCAGTTCTTCCTCCGGGGGTGGGAGTATGTGCAGTTTACTGACCTGTAATAGGCTCGTGACAACAAGTTGACCATTGAAGACATGGCCGGTGGTACCTTTACAATCAGCAACGTACGTTTTCCCTGTCTTTTGCGGTCAAGAACAACCCGGCTAACTTATCCCAGGGTGGTGTCTTTGGCTCGCTAATGGGTACACCTATCATCAACGTCCCCCAAACAGGTCAGTTCTCTGGTACTCATTTTTTTTTAATGGTTCCCATCTAATTTGTCTAGCTGTCTTGGGACTCCACGCCATTAAGGACAAGCCTGTCGCTGTGAACGGCAAGGTCGAGATCCGTCCCGTACGTACAGGCAATTCAATCACTGTTTCTTCGGTTTACTAATTTTCTAGATGATGTATCTGGCTCTTACCTACGACCACCGTCTCCTGGATGGTCGCGAGGCCGTCACTTTCCTTGTGAAGGTATGTCTACCTCCTTGTCCACCCGAACCAATCACTAACTTCATCGTAGGTCAAGGAGTATATTGAGGACCCTCGGCGCATGCTGCTTGGCTAGGTAGCATGAGTGTTTTGTCACGCGCCCTTTTTTTTAATCTATGTTTTCGTACCTGGAGCGGCCTTGCGCCCTTTGTAAATTATTATGTTCCAAGATTTAAATGCCATGTCAAGGACTGGTCTTATGGTTGGGCTCTAAGAACTATTCTTTTGTTAGGTGTGAAGCTTGCGATCTTGATGGGCCGTTGAACTATGTTTGAGATTGAACGGTCAATATGGTGATCGAATTGGTATACATGGTATTGCACTTCAAACAACTCGTGTTCGCGATGTTAGCTCACCTCATGTATCCGCTTGGGTTGGCATCGTTACACGTGGGTTAGGTAGGAGGGCATGTCCTCGCATGATTTAGGTAAGACTATTAAACCCCACAGTATTCTCGAACCCGCTGTGTCTCCTCCCGGGTCAACCCTTCCAGTTGACCATGCTCCAGCTGAAGAAGAAGAGGTGCATCCAGGACCTCCATGAGATCCTCGCAGAAATCGACATATCGATGCTGTAACCATTGGAGAGGCCACACCTCATCGAGCTCCTCTCGGCTTTTTAGATCCGCAGTACCAAATGGGGGTGGCATGTACTCCAGGAACATAGTACGGCTGACCTCCCACCATATGTCGAGATCACTGTCATTAGTTCTCCAGTTGCAGAGTCTGTGGAGCTGTTCTGGGAAGCGCACATGTTCTTCCAGCATTGCATGAACCATGAAGTGGGCACCAAGGTCGAACCAGCGTCTTCGGGATACGTGGGCGACTGCCGATTGACAGAAGTCCATGAACTGAACTGCGATATCAGACAGAGGCACAAAGTGACCGAGGTCACGATCTTTGGGGGGGTGCCAGTGGAGAAACAGATTGGACAGGTAGAAAATGCGTAATTTGAAGTCCAGGTCCCAGGGCAAGGGGCCGTCGAGACAATGACCCAGAAGCCGCTGGTGGAATTCTAGAGCCGTGGTCAGGATAAAAAGGATCCTTTGCTGGGAAGTTCTGGTACTTACGTTCCACCAAAAGCGCAAGCCTTTCAATGTCCTCGGTTGGTCTTGCTTGGCAAATTGCTTCTAGTATGCCACTGGTACACATGCAGACCATGTAGTCAAGGATCAGCAGATCCACGGTGGCTCGAGTGCTAGGGTTTCGTTCCGCCATTTTGAAGTCAACACTGAAGTGGAGGGTATCAAATGAAAAACATGTGAACAGTCATAGAGGGGTCCATGGTACCCTAGAAGTGCAGCTGTTCTCACGGCGATTGTGCCAACGCGCTTAGTCGACGCGTTTAGTCGAAGCCAATGCCCGCATGGGTAGAATGACATCACCTTCACGTGCGCACACGTGATTCGTATGACATTCTACGGTTTTACAGAGCAGAGCTGCACTCTTGAAATATCTACTAGGGTTACATGAAGACTTATACTATGTGTGGAGTTAGGGATAAATGTCCACACATATAGATTCAGCTGTAGGGACTGGAAGTGTCATATATGGTGAATGCGGATCTCATGGCGTCATCTATATATAATCATCCAGAAGAGTTACACATGTGTACATGCTATGTAATTGATCCAAACACACTTGCAATTCTTCCCTTTCACCCATTCAACACCCTCCCACCTATGCTTATTTTACATACAAAACCAAAACTGAGCTTCAGCATAGCAACACGGGCTACTATGGCGTGGTACTGTTCTGGATCCACCAACACCGAGTTGATTGAGAACTTGTTCAAGGCTGAATTGATCAAAAATGAGCGTGTGAGAGATGCCATGATAAGAGTGAGAAAATGGATTCAAATTTGTTTCAATATCATTTCTAACCATGACCAAGGTTGATCGAGCTCACTATGCTCCATCACGGCCGTATTCGGACTCGCCTCAACCCATTGGATATGGGGCCACCATATCAGCACCACACATGCACGGTCATGCATGTGAGTATCTGATTAATTACCTCAAACCAGGTGCTAGAGTGTTGGATATTGGATCTGGTTCAGGATACTTGACCCATGTCCTGGCCAATTTAGTGACTAGTTCATCCGCCGACGCCCAGGGACAGGTGATTGGCATTGACCATATCCCTGAGCTGACAGAGCTGGCTCGTACCAACATGGACAAGTCCAAACAAGGCAGTGAGTTCCAAGCATCCACAACGGTCAAGTTTATCACTGGCGATGGACGGCTTGGATGGAAAGAAGGTGCACCGTACGACGCCATCCACGTTGGCGCCGCGGCCGACAAGCTTCATCCAACTCTGGTGGATCAGTTGCGTGCTCCTGGGAGACTCTTTATCCCGGTAGAATCAGAAGACGACGAGAGTGCTATTGATAGTCTCAATGGGGGTCAATACATCTGGGTGGTGGATAAAAAGGAAGACGGATCCATTCACGAGGAAAAGGTTTTCCAAGTCAGCTACGTGCCCTTGACGGATGCTCCACGAGGATGAGACGTGAAATCCAAAGCCCATTTTGATTTTTGATTTTTTTTTAATTTTATATGCCCTTTACTTGGAAAGGATAAAAAATTAATAAATTAATGACAATATGAGTTTGTGTGCTTTCCTATACTTGTTTCTCATCGGAGCCTCAAAAACTTCATATTCAGCGAAATACATCAAGAAAAACTCCACGAACACCTTTGGTTGAGTCCACAGCAAAAGATAACCCAATTAGCGGAAGCCACCAGGGAACTTGAAACCTCCCTGGAATTGTGGACCACCCTGTTGGAAGAAGAACTGTTGACCACCGCCACCAAATGGGTTGCCCTGGAACTGACTGCCTCGCTGTTGCGATTCAGGATCATTGGGATCGTCACCGTTGTCAAACCGTGTCCGGAGTTCGGAGTCAGATAGAACTTCATAGGCTTCATTAATAGCCGCCATCTTTTTCTCTGCCTCTTCCTTGCTTACACCCTGGGAATTGGCCTTATCTGGGTGGTGTTGCTTCACTAGCTGGCGGTACGCGCGCTTGATCGTCCGATCATCCGCATCACGGCTAATACCAAGGACCTTGTAATAATCTTTCTGCTTGGAGCGCTTGAGTAGGGTCTGTGCCTTTTGTTGGAGGGATTGCGCCTCTTCCGAACTTGGATGATGTTCCTTGGCTAATTCGAGCGTACGTATGGCGTCCTCGAATCGATCCTCGTCCAAAGCAGTCTGTGCTTTATACAGGAGCCCGGCAAGCGAGTGAGGAACAAGCTGGAGAGCTTCGGCGCAAAAAGGACCAGCCTTTTTGATCATACGCATCTGGGTATGTTAGTGATGGAAACCAGGCTATCTGACGTGGGTACTCACTTCACGGTAAGCCTCGCAGGTCTTCTCGACTAGGAATGTGTAAAGATTATTTGGTGCCAGGCGATGAATATGGTTAGCCTGTCTTGCTTCTTCAACATCGGCCTTGACGTCTATAATCAGTCCACCGGATTCACCATCGCCGACCATGAGTTTTGCAGCATTGCTGAATTTGTGTGCGCCCAGGGCAGTTTGCAATGTTTCTAGTTGCTTGGCAAGCTTCCGTTCACGTCGATAGAGACGGTTGCACGGTTTCGAGTCTGGATCAGCATGGAGGCATTTTCGAATTTGAGTAAGGCCACGGTCACTGTCTCCGAGAGAGTAGAACAGCATGGATGACATTTGCAGGTGAGGTTCGACCAAGCTCGGGGACATTTGCAAAACATGTGCTAAATCGCTAAGCCCTTCTTCCGTCTCGCCCTTTTCAAAGTGACAATGGGCTCGGGCCTGCCGTAGAGGAAGCGCCGTATTTGCCTTCAGGATGGCCACATTTGCCTCGGAGACACATGTCTCCCAAGCGCCTTGCTTTTCGGCATTGAGAGCCAAGGTGGCCGCATCACGTGCGGCTTCTAATTCCCTGTAATCATCCGTCGACTTCTTTCCGGCCCGCTCGAGATCCTGCAAGGCCTCTTGCCAATGCGCGGAGCGTGCGTTTAGGCGAGATCGCTGTAGAAGAGCGCCCTCGAAATCCGGCTTGAGTTCTAGAACTCGATCAAAGTCACTTGAGGCTTGTGAGTTTTTGCCGATAGAAAGATATGCCGCACCCCGTTGAAAGATGGTGATATAGTTGGTTGGGTCGCGCGAAACGGCGGCGTCGAAGTATAACACGGCATCTCGGGGTGAGCCCTGCGCGAGGTGGGCCTTGGCGGAAGAGATCAACTCAGAGAGAGGTGTATCTGAAGGAATTTGAAGGGCGTATCCAGACGAGAGACAAGCTAGAAAGGCCGCGAGTGATTCCAAGGAAACGAGCATCTTGGACGTATGCGCAGTAATGGGACAGTAATGGGAGGTATGAATAAAGAATTTGATGAAAAATCAGTGTCCATAAAAGTGCAATTAGAGGAGCATAATCCAAAAACAAAATCAAAATAGCAAAGTGCAAAAAACAACAAGGAATCTGAAGTTGGAGGAGCACATGTTCATACTCCGTGGCCTTTACGTTTCGTGTTGTTCCGTTATCGTCATGTGACATGGAATTGTCTCCAATCGCTTTCACTCCGAATTTCGGTCTTCATCACTCTGACTTGAAGTATGCTCGTCAAGTTAAAATGTCGAATTTTCTTTCGGCCTAAGCTTGGTCTGAAACTGTTGCCTTTGCGAGGTGTACATACCGGTACGATCAGCGTGGTTGCTTTCTGATTAATGCTAATTGCGACCAAGCATCCGATTCTGCCTTGTCTCCAGCTCTTTTAACCAGAGCCCGCCTACTTGCGGCTGAACATACAAAACTTGTAGAGCGACTGGAGGAGTCCTTTGACGCAAAAACTGCCAAACGAGCCGGAGAACTGGCACCGGTTGCGAATACCTTGAAAGAATGGATCAAAACCAACGATGTATGTGCCTTGGAGACCTTCACTGGAGCCCTACTAATTCTGCTAGTCTATTGTCGAGCTCAAATCTCTACTTACCGATCCAAACACCGATGCCGAAATACGGTCTTTGGCAACAGACGACCTTGAGATTAGTCGCGATGCCTTGCCTACAATATCAGACCGACTGAAGAAGGCTCTCGTTCCGCGACATCCTTTTGCAGACCTTCCTTGCTTGCTTGAAATCCGACCCGGCGCAGGCGGAGATGAAGCAGGCTTGTTCGCGTTTGAGATGTTACGGATGTATGTTGCCTTTTGCTCCCGAAGGGGCCTCCGCCCAACAATCTTGAAACAGGACACAGAGGTCGGCCCATCCGACGACCGTCTCAGTGAAGCGGTAATTGAAATTGAAGCCAATGGTGCATATGAGATATTACGAACCGAATCGGGGGTGCACAGGGTGCAGAGAGTACCCGCAACCGAGACCAAGGGTCGCACCCATACCAGTGCCGTCAGCGTAATGGTATTGCCGAGTTTCCCAGAGGACGGTAGTGAGGTGGATAATGCACTGAACTTTGAAGATCCAAATAGCGATTACTATATCGACCCACAAGATGTGCGGGTTGAAAAGATGAGGGCTGGAGGTGCTGGTGGGCAACACGTCAACAAAACCGAGTCCGCCATTCGACTAACCCATATCCCCACGCATACGGTTGTCTCCATGCAAGACGAACGGTCCCAGCAGGCCAATCGGAGAAAGGCGTGGCAGATGCTTCGGGCAAAGCTGGCCGAAGCCCGGCAGGAAGCCCGTGAGCAAGAGCTTATGCAGCTCAGACGAGGTATACTGGGTGGCGTGGCCAAAATGGGCCGAGGGGATAAGATCAGAACCTACAATTTTGGTCAAAGTCGCTGCACTGACCATCGTACAGGCATCACGATCCATAATCTGGATAGTATTCTTGATGGTGGTGATGGTTTGGACGCTGTTATGGACAGTGTGCGGACCTGGATGGCTGAAGGTGAAGTTGAGGCCATGGTTGCCGAAGACATGGCAAAAGCAAAGAGTAAATAGCAGAGTCATTTTTCTCATGTACAAAGATACCATGTTTTTTATTGAGGCTCGACTCTATTCGTGTTCTACAAATACTTTCGCTCCGGATCCAACAAGTCCAGTCCATCCATAGCCTTCTCATACCTGTCAACCAGTTAGCAACTTTCATACTATGACTTGGGTCGGTCACAAACATGGTGAATACAATTCCTCCACTCATGATCAATCTCGCAAGTCGTGGCATAGCGCCAGACCACAAAGTTAAGATACCTTCATCCTTGACGATTCTTGTTGCGCAAACGATGCTGTTCTTGTAATGCTTGCTGGCCTCAAGTGATTGCATTCTGACATCGTTAGTACCTTCCATATGTATCGTTAGCACGTAGGGGTATTGACCTTGTCTTGACCGTGTCCAATGGTTGGGTCACATAACTGATTCATGTCAGTTTGGATTTGTCCTTTCTCTCCCCCCTTCTCTTCACATTTGTCAGGAATTAAGTCTTACACAGTGATGAGCCCTGCAATCCCACCAATTCCAAAGGTGGCTGCAGTGCCCAGCTTTTCGCCCGGCGCCGTATAGCCCTCTGCAAACTGCTTCAATGTTGTGTAGGCTGTGAATCGGGTTGCCGAGTTGGCGGCCTGTCTTGCTGTAGTGGGGACAAAGCCTTGGAAGAAGCCCTTGACACCTCTTTCATTGAAAATGAGCTTGCTACCGTGCAAGAAACCGCGCATCCGAGGGTTGGCAGCCTTCCGGTCGTCGATCCTATAGTTTGGTCAGTAGAGCCAATCAGAGATACGATGGGAACTTACAATTGAGTCTTAATGCTTTCAAAGGGAGTGACGGCGAAAAGAGACTCGGTGAATCCAGCACCAAATCCAGCAACAACCGTCCTTGGTCCTGAGATCTTGCCATTCTCATCCTGGAGAACTGATTTTATGGCATCGAAAGCGACGAATCCTACTGTGTATCAGCGGCAGTCCACACAATCGCGAGGCGTACACGCACGAATTCCAGCCTTGAGCGAGTTTCCGATAATCAGTGTTGTACATCCTGCATACCACTGGCGCCCGAACGGTGGCCATGGCAGCTTTTGGCCGTGGGTAAGCTGGCGATTGAGTTGAGTTCGGGTCTTCGCAACTGCAGCGTATTAGCAACATTGGTTGTCAGATGTTTGGAGGGATTATACATTCGGCCGGGTATGTGATCGCTGTAATATACGGTTAGCTTGTGGCCTGGTAGGGGGTCATTGAGCTCCTTACCAATCTCCACGGCTCCAGCGGTGGACCCCGCAAGGATGGAGCGAAGGGCGCTGGGCTATTTTAGTGGTGAGCTTCAAGCAGGATAGATCAATTGACCAGAGAATAAACCTTTGCCTTTTGATCCTTATTCACCATCGCCATCTTTTTTCGTAGTTCTGAGGAATTGTAGTCGCCGAATATCGGAGATCTAGCGATGTACGGCCTCCAGCACGTGCCAATACCGCAGTCGATGTTGGATGATGTAAAGAATCAGCCAGGGAGATTAGTGCATTTATATAACTCTCATATAAATCTGTTTTAGGTCACTCAAATCCTACAACTTACAACAGTGGGAACAACGTGGAGAGATATTGTCAATTCACTAGCTGAATCTACTTAGATTCGTTCAGCAACTAGTGCTCCTCCAGTTTTTTTTCTTTTTTTTCTTCTGGTTTTTTTTTGAGGGTGAGAGTGGTGTTCACCGTGTCTATAATAACGGGTAATCTCACAAAGTGAGTGTAGACAGGAGTGAGGTCAAGCATGGCAGATTGGTGGGAGGACTTCGGGGCTGCCAACAAAAGGTTAAAGGGTGAGATCATCGCTCATAGCATAGGGAACATAAGAAAAAAGAGCCCCGGGAAAAAATTGCACTAGACGCTTATCCCGTGGAACGCCATTTGCCTTGGAAATCCACGAAACACAGAATTCAGCCTCGGGAACGAAGAGCGTAGGCGCCAAAAATGCATTTTCCTCAAGAATCCTACTCATAGGACAAGGGACCGGAACGGAAAAGACATATGATACATTGCACTCCCGTATCATTATAACCGGATGATCAATGCCGTGATAGCCCGACAGGATCTCGAAGATAGGGCAGAACAGAAGAGAACTCGGGAAACCAAAGCGCAGCGATATGAAAAAGTTGTTGCTCGGGGGTGTTTGGCCTAAGAGATGGGCGCTTGGGATTGTCCCGGATTTGGTTGACCGAAGGCGATCCGGTTGGCGTCATTTTGTGCCCCACGACGTTGACCCTGTCCACGACCACGGTAAGAACTGCGTCCCCGATTATTGTAGTATTGGCCATGTTGTCCACCTTGCTGTTGACCGTGCTGTTGACCGTGCTGTTGACCGTGCTGTTGACCGTGCTGTTGACCGTGCTGTTGACCGTGCTGTTGACCGTGCTGTTGGATTTGCGGTTGGCCATTGTGATTGTTCCGGCGAGGTTGACGGTCTCCGTTCATGTTCACGGATCCAGCTCCAGTCTGGGGTAGAGGGTTGGATATCGGCCGAGGGATGTTCTCGGGAGAATCATAGACATAAAGCTTCTTGTCAATATTCTGAGGGATTGGCTGGATTTCGGTGCCCAGTTCTTGCTCAATCTTGTACAGATTGAACCGATCCTCCCAGTTGATGAGGTTAATGGCGAGTCCCAAGTGTCCGAAACGACCTGAACGACCGATACGGTGAAGATAGGTCTCCGCGTTCTTCGGGAAATCAAAGTTGATCACAACGTTGACTGCTTGAATGTCGATACCGCGAGTCAACAGGTCAGAGCAAACCAAGTTGCGGCATACGCCGTTGCGGAAGTCATGGAAGACTCGGTTACGGTGCTGTTGAAGCATCCGAGCATGAGAATAAAAGCACGAATAGCCGAGTTCGGTGATTTTTTTGGCCAGAAGCTCAACCCGATTGGTTGAGTTGCAGAAAATGATCGACTGGTTGATTTGAAGCTTGGAGAAAAGAGTGTTCAAGCAGTGAACCTTCTGCTTCTCCTCGACAAAAGCATAGTACTGGGTGATACCGCGTAGGGTAAGTTCATCCATAAGGTTGATCTCATAAGGGTTGCGCATATGTTTGTCCTTGAATGACTTGACAATCAAAGGGAAAGTGGCACTGAAGAGCATGACTTGGCGATCCTTGGGGTGGAAGGACATAAGTTGCTCAATGACAGGAGTAAACTCAGGAGACAGCAATTTGTCTGCTTCGTCCATCACAAAAGTCGGGCATTCGGCCAAGTCGGCGACACCTTTGCTAGCCAAATCCAGCACCCGTCCGGGGGTTCCCACAAGAATGTGAACAGGGTCATTCAACCGAATAATGTCGTCCATCAAACCCGTTCCACCAGTGGTAACCATAACATTGATACCGAGGTGTTTGCCTAGGGTCTTGCAGACCTGTGATGTCTGGAGGGCGAGCTCTCGTGTGGGGACCAGGATCAAGGCCTGGGTCTTTGTACTTTTGGGGTTAATGCGCTCGAGTGTGGGGATAACAAAAGCAGCGGTCTTTCCAGTGCCGTTCTTAGCTCGAGCCAAGATGTCTCTACCTGTGAGGGCAACTGGTATCGTCTCTTCTTGGATAGGGGAGGGCTTTTCAAATCCAGCCTCAAAAATGCCCATCATAAGTTCACGTTTGATGTAAAAGTCCTCGAACTCGAGGCCTTTTGTAGCAGTGACATCCTATTCAGAGTCAGTGTTTTGAAATTGATTGACACCAATAAAATGCTCACCTCAGTTTGTGGGCGAGCATCTTTAGGTGGGAGTTTCAATGTGTCCTGCAGTCTTTGCTCTGAGGTTCCTTCCCTGGTCAAGTCAGATTTTTTTGAGGATCTGAAAAAAAGTAAGATCGACTTACAGCTTAGAATTGCCGAGTTGTGCAGCAAGCGCGTCGGCCATTGTGACGATAAGGTGCTAAGGAGCTGGGAAGCAAGTGAGGTGACCGATTTTGTTTGCGATCAAGAGTGTGTATGTGGAAGGATGTGCGCAGAAATTGGAAGAGGAATTTTTCGGAAGAGTTTGAAGGTGACGAAAATGCGAGGAGAGGAGAGGGATGTTCGTCGAAACCGATAAAGTCAGGTTGTAGGGGACGGGATGTCGGGTATTCAATGATCAATGAAAGCTTCTGTGTGGAACCAAGAAAGATCTCTGATGCCAAAGCTGGGAAAATTCACAGGCAGGATTAAGAATGGTAGAAACCAGTTTTGTTGACAAGAGAGGGAGAGAGAGAAAAAGGTAGGAGAGATTGAGATTATGATGGCGGGGAGCGAAGAGGTTTGAGGTAAAGAGTGAAGCCAAACGTTCCGCTGGTTATGGTCACGTGCAACTCCACTACAACTATTTACTACACACATCCAATGGGCAGAGATATTTGAGGGAAGAATATCAAACATGGCAAAAAAAAGAATTTCTGAAGGGTATATCGCTACAAATAGGATTGACTGAAAACATTTAATTTCAGCGCCGGAAGGTTAGTGTCGTTTGGCCACGCTCTGGCTCTGCCAGCTCCTTCACCCTGACATCTGCAGAGATGGTGATATCGGTCTTGCTACCAGGCGTGATCAGAATGAACTGTCGCCCGATAGAGCGTCTAGCTGCAACCATCTAGAACAGTTAGCAGTCAGAAATGACCTTTGAGAAGGAGATGTGGCACTTACAAGCATATCAATTGCCATCTTTCGGTTGATGTGATCCATGTACACATCGCTTTTTAAGGTCAGCATGTTAATAAGCCAAAATGCGAAGAAAACTTACAATTCATCAAGACAACGTATTGGGGATCCCATGGCTTCCCAGAGAGACAACAGCAGACAGACTTGTGAGAACGATTTTTCTCCACCGGACAGTGTCTTTGCACCTCTCCCGGTGCTATCGTCTTTAGTGATATCAGGCTCAACCTATGGTGTAGTCAGCATTAATTGATCAATATCGCCAAGGTCCTGGTGAAATGATTTACTTGTAAGTCAAGAAGTTTGTTGGTATGATCAGCGAGAAGCCGGCCACGGAAACTTCTCTCACTTAATAGATAGGTGAACTGAGCCTTAGCTCGAGAGGAGATGTGGGATCTGAAGATTTCCCATCTCTTTTTGCGGTTCTGGAGGGTATCTTTCAGGGCCTAAACAGATGTGAGACCAGACCAAAGAAACCAGGCATTGAAATCAAGGGTAAATTACCTGACTCAAGGCCGAAAATTGTTCAAGCTGCTGCAAGGCTCGATCATAGGTTGCCGCAGTCCTTGTTGCATCAGCAGCAATTTCCTCTCGAGAACTTCCCAACCTGTTGACTGTCAGTTTAACTGTCAAATTATAAACTGCAAGGGGCATACTCCAAGTTGTAACGAGCCAGATCACGGCTTAGTTTATCGAGTTTTTTGTCGAGGCTGCCGGGTGTTTCTCCTTCGTCCACAGGAACTCGAGAAGAAACCAAGTTGGCTTTTTCATTGTATTCAACAACCCGTGCTTTTACCACTTCTTTTCTCGCTTCGATTTCAGCCTTGGTCTGTTTATCTTGGTCAATAAGTCCAACAGCTTCGTTCTTCTCGTCGAGGATCTTGGTTTGCTTTGTTTTCACAAGGTTTTGCTCGCTTTCAGCAACTTGTAGTTTTTCCCGGAGGGTTGCAAGTTCAGAGTCCTTGGCAGATAGTTCTCGCCGGATTTCTTTGATGGTCTGCAACGTGGCTTTCATGGCTGCCTCGCTATCCTTGTACGATCCCTCATTGAGCTGCTTCTCATCTTCAGCTTCTTTTAACGCTGCCTGAAGCGCATCAATGCGTCCATCCTCGGCGTTCTCTTTGTCCAGGGCATCTCTGAGTCCCTCGGCATGATCTTCTTTTCGTTGCATTTGAATTTGCAGATCTTTCTCGGTTCTTCCATGTCGGAGTAGTGCCTGTTTGCTGGCCTCGACGCGTGACCGGGCAGTTGCCAATGACTGTTCAAAGTCCTTCTGTTGGCGTTTGAGGTCTGCAATAATGTCGCGTTGTGCGCTAGAGCCATTAGCCAGTGTCAGAGGTTTCAAGGAAGAAGATTTACTTACTTGATTTGCAAGGCCACGTCGGATTTCATGCGCGGGCCATCGGTCCATCCCATGACAGGAGCCTGACTCGGTTCTCCAGCTCGACTGTATGAAAGATGGAGTCCTCGACGTCGGTCTTTTGGATCAATGGAATAGCAGCGCTTAACATTTCTTGGTCGCGCACCGTCGAATAACACAGCAGAAGCTTCGTTTACATCCTCGATCAACAGCATTTGTTCAATCCCATGGTTGATGATCAGCTGTCGCCGGACTAATTCGTTATCGATCTGAAAGGTCAGCACATTCCATAAATCGTGGAAGGGATGAGGGTGGCTACCTGAAGTGTTCGTAAGACAGTGTTGTGTTGGGGGTCTGGTTCGTGTGCCGAGGTATCCAAACGGCCATCAGAGCCAATGAAGATTGGACAGTTGCTGTCAGATCATATCAGCCTCAATTTCAACATGGACCCCTGATCTAACTCACCACTGAACCCGTCGCATGATATCGAAAAGAAGCTTCATGTCATTTTTGGATGAAACGATGAAACTGGCAAGCGTACCACCAAACACTCTTTCCAGGATAGATGACCACTTCGGTTCTAGCAGAGTGACATAGTGACCAATGGGGCCGACAGGGGTTGCCTCCCATGATTTTTCCTGTACAATGGCTTTTAGGAGTGCGGGCATTTTGACATTGAAGCCGGACTGTCTTGATCCACCTTCATTGGTGAGATTCTGAAGTTGGTTCTCCGCTTGACCAATCTCGCGATGTTTCTGTTCAAGTGGGCCTTCGGTTTCTGCAAAATCTCTCTCGGCGGTTTCGAGATCTTCCCGTAAGCGAGCGGCACCTTGGCGATGCTCCTCGTATTCTCTTTGGGCAGCAGAAGCATCGTTGGCGGCTTGCTCACACTCGTCTTGTTTTCGAGCGTAGCCGCCGTCGCTCACATCTGCTAGACGCTGATTCTCATCGTCGACTTTTTGCTGGGTTTCCTGGATTCTGGACTCGGCCGCTTTGAGATATTCCCTGATCTGGCGTTGTTCCGCCTGTAAAATAACAGTCAGGGAAGGTATTTCATGCTGGCTGGAAGGACGTACCTGTAGGTCATGCCGGCCGGCCATCTCAGCGTCCAATTTTTCTTTTATTTTGTCCCTTTCCTCTTGGGCCTCATTCACTGCCACGGCAGCTCGCCAGGAGTGTTCACCCGCGGCTGTTTCTTCCGCGGCGACTCCGTCAAAGGCAGCATCAAACCGAGTGAGGCGAGATTCGGCTTCAGTAATCTTCCGATCTGCCTCGACAATTTGTTCGGTGAGTGAGATTTCCATCTATATTGTCAGTCAAATATCAAGAAGGCGGTAGGGTGGGACCGACTCTTTCTTGCTCTTCAACTTGAGCCCAAGCCATTTGGCCTCGGATATTTCTGATCCGGTTTCTCAGATAATCGTGCTGGTCAGAGATGTCCAGTTTTTTCTTGGCCAGCTCTTTGCGGTTTTGGAGGACCTGTACGTCTTGGGCTGATGTTCTGAGCTTTTCTTCAATCAAGTCAAGGGATTCCTCCACTAGCCGGTAGTCGTTATCGAGCTGTTCCAACTGGACGCCTTTGACAAAGAATTTGTATTTCTCAGCTGGGCTCGATGTACTCAAGAACTGACGGGCCATATCCTGGGAGAGTACGTTCATAGGGTTTTCGATCTGCAGAGAAAAGTAGTCTGTGATGGCATCCAGCTCACCCTTTTTAGTCGAGACGATGCGCCCGTTCTCTGACTTGATCTTGAACCCGCTGGTGCCGCTTCGGGAGAAATGACGCTCGACGATAATGGTTTTTCCAAAATCGTCTGCCAAATAGGCACCGTCGCCTTGATTCTTGATACGAACGATGATCGTGCTATTTTCTTTGCCCTCTTTGATAAAACTTTTGAGACTTTGGCCGCGATTTGTCGCCGAAGCTTTGCCACCTAAACAAAGGGTGATCGCTGTCAAAATCGCACTCTTGCCGCTGCCATTCTTTCCAACAATGAAGTTGATCAATGGCCCCAACTCCACGTAGAAGTGATCATGACACATGAAATTGTAGCACTCAACACGTTCGAGGATTCCATGTTCGGCTGGCACGTTGGCTTCATCTATCAGATGCGAGTATTTTTCTTGTATGATCTGAGTCTGACGGAACTCTAGCTCGTCCTCGTCGTCGAGAAGCGCATCGTCGTTGACGGCTAGAAGTGAATCGGCGGTGTTGATAGCAGCGCGGGAAGAGGTTGAAGATTCCGAGTTTGCTGAGCTCTCTGAATTCGTCCGCTGTCGTTTCCTCTGTGACTGTTAACTCTGCTTAAACTCATGCTTGCTAGAATCGTACCGAGGAACTCACGGCTGGCTGGTTAGACCTATCGCTTTCCTCGTCGGAGTCCGCAGACACCTGCACGCGCTTGCGAGATGGCATTTGAAGATATTTTTGTCAATCAAGGCCAGCGGCTAGCATAGCGAGCAGACTCGTCAGTCCTAGCTGATGGTCGCTGTTCTCAGCCACACGAAACCCCCACGAACTGATGGTCCCGAGATCGCGTCGCGTCCGCGTCAGATAGACTTAGTAATCAGATAGGCACTACAGGGCTCTTCGGGTGCAAATGTGGCCTTCAGCGTTGATTTTAGTGTTTTGCTATCGAATTTGAGAAAAAGAAGAAGTCCTTAGAGGAAATAATAAAAGTCTTGCTTTACGAGTAGGAATCGAGAAGGAGAACGAGATCAAGTGTTTCTTTGTTCCGTGACCACAAAGAGAATCTGACGCCAAAACTATAGACGAGTGCGGATGTGCGAGTACCGATTGCTTCGGACATTTTTCCCCCTTGTTTTGTTAAGACAGATATGGGATCTTAATTTGTTCAATAGTTGATCACACGATCTACCGCTATGTAAGATCAGCTAGAGGTACGCGAGTTGGTTGCGCACCTTCTCTAGCCCATCAAAATTAGCCTGTAGAGTAGTGGCAAGGACACTTGAACTCTTGATATTGCCAACGCCTGCCCATTCATCGCACGCGTGACAAAGCTTCTGATACGCAGCTGCAAATGCAGCCTGCAACTCGGAAGTCCGAGTACATGACCGACCTAGATCATTCATGTAATGAGTAGGATCTTGTATGCATAACCGTTGGGCAACCAAAAAATTTCGCTTCGCTGCAGCGGTCCGCTTGGCACTGATCAGAGAACGTTGACCGCGCTGGTAGGCAGGTTCATCAGCCTCGGAAGCTACAGGTAACATGTCTGCGCTGAAAAGTTTGGGAGGATCAACGGAAACAACAACCGATTGGAGGTCAACCTGAGTGCCAAAGAACTGCAGAAGAGCAAGGAATTGGTCACCCAAGTTATTGGGCCCTGGAAACCGGCCATGGTTTATCTTCAGGAATGCTACGATGAGCATGGCTAGCGCATCCGGTCCAATGCTCGCCTGCGGTGAGCCAAAAAGGTCACGCGCCTCTAACAATGTGCGTGTTACTACGTATAGAGGCCGCAGGGCAGGATATTCAGCCTGATAATCTTGCAAATACTCCGTGATGGCAGGGATACCGTCGCCACAATAAAATTGTAGCAACAATCCAGTCGGCTGGTGGCAAGCGGATAGCGATGGGTTTCGCTTTTCAGATAGTTTCACGCTATCGCCGAATATGTCCGTGTGCTGTAATGCTCTTTGGACTTGACGCAGAAGACGGGTATGGGCACCTTGGACCTGAGGCCGCGTGGGGCTCGGTCTTCGACCACGTTCTAGTGATCTGGGAAGATCTTTATACGGCAGTATAAAGTCAAGATCTGAGTGCGCCAGGACAAGACCCGTGCAGTGGGAACCAATAACTCTTGGAGCATGTGAAACCACTGCTTTGAGAAGTGAGGCTATCTCTGCCCTCAGCTTCTCTACACGGTCTCTTTCCTGAGCCGTTGGAAGCAGGTATTGATCCAATGCTCGAATTTCTGCATCCAGGGTGATCTCAGCATTGGCGCGAGGCAGCTCCAAATTTGTCAGCCATGGACTCTGTGCCGGACGACCTGTTCCAGCAGGCTGAATCGCATCTTTTCCATGTCGATTAATGAGTGATTGATGGGACGATATATCCACTTGACTTTGGCGCTTTTTCTGGCGCTTTTTAGACGCCGGATCAGAAGTACCAGGCGGGTGTTCCGAGCTCGGTAGAGTTGGTTCTGCGGGTGGTTGGTAGTCGGCGCGCCTCTCATATGAGATCTCGGGTCGCCAGAGTCCCGCGGAATCTTCAAGGGGGTAAATTTTGCGGATTAAACGAGACCGGTTTGTGGATCGATGGGCTTCTAGGGTCTTTCGGAGGCTATTAGCAAAGACATCGGAAGTCTTGGCTGCTGTAACAGAGCTATGGAATGGGCGAAAGAGGTGAGAGGGACGGATACGGAAAGGTAAGCTCAAAAGCTGCATAACAGTATTAGGGCATTTGAGAACAAAAGAGGATACCGGAGTGGATGTCACCATGCCGAGGATGCATGCAGCGTTCCAAAATATTCTTTCCGATCGACTTTGTTCAAGTGTTGGTGCCTCAGGCAGAAACATCCATGTGACAAAGGGGCATGCGCAGTTTTCAACAAGATTGCCTAGGTGAGTACATTGATACAAAATATACTATTCTACATCCATCTCGACATATCTCAAATTCAAATGCCTCAAATAGATCGAAAAATTCATAGATTGAACTCATGTATAACATGCACAAAATGTACAATACATGTGATATCCAAGATGTATAGCATGTGTGCCATGTAAGAAAATAGAAAGAAATGCATACATGACGTAGCACTGAGGAAATGTCCACAAATTTCCCTCCAAACTCCCTCTATCTTCATGTTAAAATATTTCATATTTGAATTTGTGAACCTGGAAGATCTCTCCTCAAGGTCTAATCAACCGGGTTCCCCAGGTCATTTCCTTCGATAACCCTCGATAAGACAAGTTCACTTCACCGCTTGCCCCTCCATCCTTTCTATCTCCTATTCCTCCTTTCTTTATCTACCTAGGTATAATCTATCTGTTTTTGATTTAATTATCTTCCTTACATCGTCCATGGCTTTCGTGCGATAGTCCATTTTCCCTCGACCTTGCTTTTCGACTCAGTCCTAACTTCCCGAGGTATGTACCCTTGATCATCTCCCCATTCCCAACCCGCCGTCGTTCAAGGTTTCCCCGGACATTAGTGCATGTGACAGTTGCGGCCTAACTCTCGCAGTCTAATTGCAACCCATCGGATCTAACCCTCAATTTCCCCGTCAAATAACGTTTAACATTACTCTACTCGGCTGCTCGTCATGTCCGAACCAGAAAGCCCCGCGCAGGTGCCTGATGACCAGCCAAACCCGGTCATCGTCGGACCTGGGTTGAAGGCGCTCAAAAATGAAGCATATGCCCAAGCGACAAATGCGACACCTAGTCTGGAGAAGATATCGAATGAAGCCCCTTCATACTTTGACAATCTCCCCGGGGCAAAGGCTGTAACCACCGACCCGTCTGAGACCAAGCCCCAGTCAGCGCAGACTGAAGGGAGGGCATCATCTGGCATGGATTTATTGCGCCGCTTAAGCTTGACGTCGAACTCTCCCATGTCTACCGAGGTTGATCCACGCGTACAACACCCAGGACTTCGTTTGAGTGGCCGCCTCATCAGCGCCGCTTTCTGTATACCATACAAGCTCAAATTTCGATCGGGATCAGACTGGGTACGTGGAGTCATTCTGTTCATCTGGGAGATCGCACTGGCTGACCGGATAACAGACTCTCAAGTCGCGCTCTGGTACTTCGGCGCTGTTCGATTCATTTGCAAATCTTGCATCGGACGAGACTTCTTGGTCACACACCTTGGTAGGCTGGACTGGAGAGGTCGAGCCTGATATGGATATGAAACTATCCTTACAGCAACTACATGCCAATTCTACAGTCAAGGCACCTCTAATCCCCAGTAACCTTGTTGCCAACCAACCATTGAACAAGGCTGCTGCGCCGGTTCCCGTGGATGGAACCAAGAAGCCACCCGCACATCCACTGGTAGAGGGAATTAGCGTCACCCAACGGGACCGAGAACGACTCGATGAACAGCTGAGCTCGGGTCGTCATGGCCGGGTATTGCCTGTGTGGTTATCGGATGAATCAGAAGAGCCAGAAGATACTATTCTGCTGAAAGATCAAGGGAGATGGCGCCGTTATGCCGAACGTGAGCTATACCCTCTACTCCATTATAAGCAACATGGCCCGACTGATGGCCGATCTGAGCGGCGGTGGTGGGCCGATTATGTGCGCCTGAACCAGTTGTTTGCGGATCGCATCGTGCAGGAATATCAAGAAGGAGACGTTGTCTGGGTTCATGATTATCATTTGTTCCTTCTGCCCAGTATGCTGCGGCAACTTATCCCGAATATCTACGTGGGATTCTTCTTACATTCGCCTTTTCCCAGCAGCGAGTTTGTCAGGTGTCTTGCGAAGCGCAAGGAGATACTGGAGGGAGTCTTGGGTGCCAACATGATTGGATTCCAAACATTTTCCTACTCTCGACACTTTACCTCGTGCTGCACCCGTGTTTTGGGCTTTGAGTCCAATTCTGCCGGTGTTGATGCATACGGGGCCCATGTTGCAGTAGATGTCTTCCCCATTGGTATCGATGCACATTCGATTCAAAAAGCCGCCTTTGGAGCCCCAGATATCGAGAAGACTGTGTTGGGTATTCGCAAGCTCTATGCTGGAAAGAAAATCATCGTTGGCCGCGACCGGCTGGACAGTGTTCGCGGCGTTGCGCAGAAGCTACAGGCATTCGAGATTTTCCTCGAGCGCTATCCGGAATGGCGTGACAAAGTCGTCCTCATCCAGGTGACAAGCCCAACTAGTGTGGAAGAGGAGAAGGAAGACCCTGAAAACAAGATTGCTGGCCAAATATCCAATTTGGTTTCGACCATCAATGGAAGATTTGGCTCATTGAGTTTCTCGCCCGTCCAGTACTATCCGCAATACTTGTCACCGCGCGAGTACTTCGCGCTGTTGCGTGTAGCCGATGTCGGATTGATCACTACGGTGCGAGATGGCATGAACACAACGAGTTTGGAATATATTGTCTGTCAACACACCAACCACAGCCCTTTGATTCTTTCTGAATTTTCTGGAACGGCGGGCACCCTGCCCAGTGCCATCCACATCAACCCGTGGGATATGGTTGGGGTGGCTGGAGCGATCAACCAAGCATTGAATATGCCAGACGAGCAGCGAAAGGAACAACACCTCAAGCTATACAAGCATGTGGTGACCAACACAGTTTCTATGTGGTCTAGGCAGTACCTCAATCGCCTGCTGACCAATCTTTCGTCCTTTGACCAATCGGTCGCTACACCTGCACTGGATCGTGCGAAATTAATGAAGCAGTACCGTAAAGCTCGTCGACGACTTTTCATGTTCGACTACGATGGTACATTGACACCAATTGTCAAGGACCCTCAGGCGGCCATTCCTTCAGATCGGGTACTCCGCACTTTGAAGAGCCTATCTGCCGATCCACGAAATGCCGTGTGGATCATCAGTGGACGAGACCAGGCTTTTCTAGACGAGTGGATGGGCCATATTCCAGAACTTGGATTGAGTGCCGAGCACGGTTGTTTTATCCGGAAGCCCGGATCTGAGGACTGGGAGAACCTGGCCGAGAGAAGCAACATGGGATGGCAGAAGGAAGTGGTTGATGTTTTCCAACATTACACAGAGCGAACCCAGGGTTCATTCATTGAACGAAAACGGGTAGCATTGACCTGGCACTATCGTCGCGCAGACCCAGAGTACGGTGCGTTCCAGGCTCGCGAGTGTCGAAAGGCTTTGGAGGACACCGTCGCCAAAAGGTGGGATGTGGAGGTCATGGCAGGAAAGGCCAATCTAGAGGTTCGACCAACCTTTGTGAACAAGGGGTTTATCGCCACTCGGTTGGTCAACGAATATGGCACGGCCCCAGGGAAGACCCCGGAGTTCATCCTATGTTTGGGTGATGACTTCACAGATGAAGGTAAAAGCGCTCTCACATTGTTCGTGTTAACAGTGGATTAACATGCAATTTAGATATGTTCCGAGCTCTCAAGAAGTTTGATCTACCACGCGACCATGTTTACTCGGTTACGGTGGGTGCTAGCTCAAAGCAGACCGATGCCAGCTGGCACTTATTGGAACCGGCCGATGTTATTGGATCAATTCAGATGCTTTTCAGCAGCGCCAACCAAGACCACTGATATTTGATCAAGACTTGGACCAAAAAACCAATGATTGCCCGCTACAGCCAATTATACGCCGTGCTCCACCGGGGGATCTAGCCTTGGCATCTGTTTTAGAGTCGGCATGCCGGAAGTTATCACCACACGGTCTTGAAGATGGTTTTGATCTATTTCTAGAGGGCTATTAGTCCTCACATTAAGACACTCCGAACTATACAAGCGTTACCACCGCCACCGTCGTTTTTGCTCATTTGGCTTGGGTCTATGCTCTCCTGTTTTAACTCCGTAAAATAGGGTCTCTTGCCATGATGTTTTTTTGTTGTATAGACTCACATGTATGTACATGTTAGAAAATTAGCTATTGAATTTTCCCAGCCTTTGCGTCTTGTGTACAAGAGTGTTGTGACCCCATGTGTATATCTGAACCAGTTTTGCGGGGACCCCAGGATTGCGCTAAATTAAGTGAGTGTGGGGTCACAAGATGTATATAGATGTATAGAATTAGAAGGATACAAACGTAGAAATCAAAGGCTATTTGAATCAGAGAAAAGGTCAAAGAGGGAGAGAAATAACTGAATACACTACAACTGTGTACCCTATACTAAATCTGCACCAACTCTACAAAAGACCCAAGTATACAACCAGTTAAAATACGATAGTGCATAATGTGCAAAATAAAACATCCCAGGGATATGTCGATATACATAACAAAGCACATACTGCAGATGTGCTATTCGGAAGTGAACCCGTATGCCATCCGAAGAGCGCGGCCATCTTTGCGAATAGGTGAGAGGACGATCGGAAGGATCCCCGTTATTGGAAATTCCCCCCAATTTTGATTTGACTCATTTGAAAATGCATCTCGTTATTCTGGATCTGCGTTTCAAAGGGGTCTCAAGGAGGTAAACCATGTCAACTTCTAATATGGCCGATTTCTCCAAGAAGCCCTCAAGTACGACTGAAGAACATGGAGACGAGAAGAACGAGAGCATAGATCTAAGCCTCACTTACCACCCCTCAGACGAAGAATCAACTGTGGGCTGTGAGCCCAACCTAGCGCATGTACCTACCAACACCAGCGCCTTGAACCGTACACTGTCGGCGGTGCGCACTCGGGAATCTGGCAAAGATCTCGGCCCACCCCCGGATGGAGGATTTCAGGCTTGGTCGCAGGTTGCTCTTGCACACTTCGTCATCTTCAATACATGGGGTTACGTCAATAGCTTCGGCGTCTTCCAGACATACTATTCCCAGACACTGGGACATCCACCATCGGACATCTCCTGGGTCGGTAGCATCCAGATCTTTTTGTTATTTTTTATTGGCACTTTCTCCGGCAGAGCCACCGATGCCGGCTATTTCACACTTACCCTAGCATGCGGAGCTATCTTGGAATGCTTTAGTATCTTCATGACCTCGCTCTGTACCAAGTACTGGCAGCTATTCCTAGCACAGGGTGTTGGCCAAGGAGTTGGGTGCGGGCTCATGTTCTGCCCAACATTGGCTTTGATCTCGACTTATTTCTCCAAGAACCGTGGGATCGCCATTGGAATCGTTGCGTCTGGTTCTGCCACGGGTGGTCTGGTCTTCCCGGCTGTTATCATGAAGATGCTGCCCCAGATCGGATATGAGTGGACGATTCGGACGTTGGGCTTTATTTCAGTGGCCACGCTGACTCCTTGTGTCCTATTTCTCAAGCAGCGTCTTCCTCCGTGCAAGAGTGGCCCGATTGTCGAGTGGGCAGCCTTCACCGAGCTGTCCTACTTGATGTTTGCGATTGGCATGTTCTTGAACTTCTGGGGCCTATATGTCGGCTTTTTCTACATCGGCAGTTTTAGTCGTAACATCATCAGCGTGTCAAATGATCGATCCATTGACATGATATTGGTCATGAATGGAGTCGGATTGGTTGGGCGATTGGTCCCCAATCTGCTAGCTGATCAGTTCACTGGTCCTCTCAACCTGTTGATCCCGTCCAGTTTTGCGACGGCCTTGGTTGGCTACTGCTGGGCAGCAGTCAACGATATCTCCGGACTGTGGACATTTGCCTCGTTTTATGGCTTCTTTGCTGCGGGTATTCAATCGTTATTCCCAGCGACCCTCAGCACCCTCACGACGGAAATGAAGAAGATCGGTGTACGCATGGGCATGATTCTCAGCGTGGTGGCAGTGGCAGCTCTGACAGGGTCTCCTATCGCTGGTGAGCTAGTTTTTCGTGATGATGGCAATTACCTGTATGCCCAAATGTTCATGGGGTCTGCGATCTTCCTTGGCGGATTGACCTTGATCGGAGCCCGAGTGACCAAGGTGGGCACTGATCTGGTTCGAGTTGGAAATTAGATGGAACGAGACATAGGTGAATAGATAAATGGACACATATATATAAGTGCATATAAGAAGATAATGATGATGATGTGTGATGTTGTATGATAAACAAATCAACGAATTGTGTTTTGAGGAGAAGAAATGTCTCCCCCCCGCCCCCCAACATGTGATTAATGCGTGACTAGTAACTCCGAACTCGTTCCCAACTTTGTATCTTTAAAAAAAACCTTTGAAGTCTTCGCAACACTTCCAAATTCTTCAGGTAAGTGAAAGTTTTTTTGTTTCTATGGCACAGGACATGTGAAGTGACATCCCACCTTTGCCCCTCCATCCATTGTGTGCAAAATCTGCGAAACCTGCGAAACCTACAAACCCCCTCAATGAAAACCCGCTTAACTCTTTTTTTTCGAAATAGAGATATCCATTACTTGAGCTTCGTTACAAAATTCTCAGATTTCCCTAAATATCAATATGGCGCCCCGTGGTCGTGGAGGAAAGTTTTCCAAGCCAACTCGAGGAGGTATGTGGGGTGCTCGTGCAGAGTACGAGATACCTGAAGCTGACCAGATGATGAATAGGAGGCAAACATTTCAGTAGAGATCTACAGCCATTAGACAAGGATGGTAACCAAATGGGTCTCTGGCGGGTGAATTGACTTCAATCCCAACTCAAATGCTACAGCACCCTGACCATGACATCTCTTTATAGGAGCCTGGTGATCAAATCAAGTCATCGGGCGACGAAGATTCTTCATCGGAAGAAGAAAGTTCCGAGGAGTCTAGCGAGGACGAGCCCAAGCCCACTGAGTCATCCACGACTGCAGGAACCCGTGAGGAGCGCCGTGCAGCTGCTAAAGCTAAGAAGGCAGCCGCATTGAAGAAGCGAGGCCAAGGACCAGCCCAACCGGGCGACCTACCCCCTTCAGACTCGGAAGGATCCGACAACGAGCTCCCCGCCAACCCCAACCACACTGCCAAGTCCCGCTCACAGACCCTCAAGGCCGTCGAAGAGCCCGCTGCCGAGCCCAAAAAGCCCGCTAAGGTCAAAGATATCTCGCAGTTGTCCCGGCGTGAACGTGAGGCCGTCCAGGCTCAGCAGGCCCGTGAGCGTTACCAGAAGCTGCACGCTGAGGGTAAGACCGATGAGGCGAAGTCGGATCTGGCTCGTCTTGCTATTATTCGTGAGCAGCGTGAGGCGGAGCGCCAGCGCAAGTTGGCAGAGAAGGAGGAGAAGGATGAGCAAGCTAAGGAACGTGCTGATGCCGCTCAGGAGCGGGAGGATCGTTTGCGCGCCGCAGCTTCAGGAAAGACTGCAAAGAAAGTTGGTGGAAAGAAGAAGTAAGCTTATGGATTTCATTTAATATGTGGTCATGATTTGGGTCGGATTATTGTTGGGTCCACATCTAGATAACAAAAAAAAAACAAAGCAACCAGATGAGATGCTCCTCATATTGGATATCTGGAATCAATCAGAGAGTGAATAAGATGCAATCATGTAAATTGAAATCATATACACTGACGCCACCATATTATTTGAGAAACACCTCATTTTTGGGCTGGCTTTTCTGGGAAAAGCATGAGCCGGCCCGAAATTTTTTTCAGGGGAAGAAAAAAGATATTTCAAGTTTCATGCACGGTGCTGAAATCTCAGGGAGAAGAACTAGACAAGAAAAGAGTTCTATTTGCGGGAAGCCTCATACATCACACACCCCAGAACAACCCTTTGACGCTGTGGCCTTGCATGACAATGCCCCAACCGGCAATCAGGCTGACTAGCCACATAACGGCGAACATGATAATGGGCACAAGGAGAAGTTCTGTGTTGTGCAAGAAGGGAAGAGCATTGTACCCCAGGAATGTGATATATGTGTAGTAAATGAGAGCAGAGAGGTAGAGCGAGTTTCCGAGAAAAGTAGCCAGGAAATCGCTCGGGCTACGGGTGAGGAGTGGCAGAAGGAGGAACTGCACCACGTAGAGGTGGAGATAGAGAGGAAAGAAGGCCCGGTTAGACACCTATACAAGGGCAATGTCAGAAGGTCAAAGATTCCACAGGATTTTATAGGAGGGAGTCTTGCGTCAAAACAATATCCAAACTCCAATTGCTCCTTCTCCCCTGGCTGCGTAAACAAGCCCTGAGCGGCACCTCGTCTTCGGCCACGGGAGCTCCGCAGGCCCGTTAGAGAGGCGGCAGCTCCATTCGGACCGAACAGACGGCCAATGACAAAGTATCCAATTGTTGAGACGAGCAGTGAGGAGCCGATGAAATGCACGAACACGAAGAGGAAGGTGAGGCGGATGATTGCGCCGAAGCCTGGCGTATAAGCAAGGCCCCATGCAAAGGCTGTGAGGAGGAGGAAGAATGATAGTAGGTAGGTGAATGACGGATCAGGCCGGTGCCATGTATTTTTGGTTTCTGTTCGAAGGCATCAATGGTGCTCGGCTAGGGCCATGGTAACTGGCATTGCCAAAATTGTATGTGTTTGTACCATCGATACATGATCCGAGATTGGAAGACAAAGACTCACGTTTCTAGATCCGATGGTATGGTTAGCATAGTTCGAGGGCTCGTTTGGGTAGTCAATGATCACTTACATGGTAGTATATCGATTTGAAGACCTTCTTGGGTGCGATCAACAACGAAGTCATTTCCCAAACGGCCATTTCAAAGTCCATCTGTGGAAATTTGAAGAGCCTATCCCATATCAGTGATCGTTTCTTGCGTCGAGGTTCTTCGGTCCTACCTCTTGAAGAACCGCGGCATGCGGACGCTAGCCCGGCTTGCGGGGGTTGAACCGAAGTTGGCAGGGCCGGCATGTTGGCGGGGAACGGAGATATGAGGGTTCATGATCATAGACCCCGTTTTTCGAGAAGGGAAATCAATCTCGGAGCATACACGATGCAGTCCGGTTGTTGTACGTGTATCCGACGCACGTTGGGCCCGGTTATGTCATCTTGATCACGTGTGGGGTATATCCTCGGTCATTTGTTGTTGTTGTTTTTGTACACCGTACTCCGTACACATGCATATACCGTGGTATGACTTCATTTTCCAGCGAACACAGTATTCTGTACAGATTCTTATCTGTTCGAACATCATATCTGAATAGTTCTTCTTTTGTATCTCTTCCGAACAAGTGTCGTGTTCCTGGAAAAGGTTCCCTATCAAGAGAATCCACTCTGCAAGGGGCTGAAGGATTAATAGCCAACATACATACATGCACTCCGTCCTTCATAGTCAACATATGGGTAGATAACCAAGGAGACTTTACACGGAATACGGGGTAGAGAGTATCATTTAAGTCTCCGGGTTGCCCTCATACTTATTTATCTAAATAGAATAAATGTTCTTACAAAGTGCGTTTCTCTAGTCACTACGGAATACAGAAGTTAACATCCGATATATATCTCCATCCCCCCACGACTCCACTTGTGTACTTTCTTGGTATAAACGACATAAAACATAAATTGGAAGGCAGAAGATATTGATATGTGGTTGTACGCATACACCACACTCGATGGTTACATTATCGAACCTCGAGTATATAAGCATAGACTCAACAAACATAGTTTAATATATTCCTTGATACAAATGTATCAAACCCCTGAATTCTGTGCGTTGGCAGATTCAGATCCTAAAAAAACCCAACTAATTTCCCCTGGACTGCTGTATTCAGTCTTATCGCATGTTGCAACCCCCCCCTTAGGACTACGGAGTGCTCCGTATATCTTTCTCATTTCTCATCTTATTTGAAAAAGAAATCAAGAAATCCCCCCCCCCCCCCCCCTAAAAAAACACAGATCGTTCACTCAAAATTTGAAAGGTCCCGCCAAATCTCTGAACTCTCAGGAGTTCCTTGTCTGCATTACTCGGCCCTGCCAACCTTTTACATTGTTTTGTTTTTATGTTTTTACTTCTTATTTTTTTTTCCCTTCACATCCCTTGCTTTGCGAGACAATGACCAAGTAAATTGTCCTTCAATCCGTCAAATCGGACGTTACAGGTCGAGACCATCAGTTTCTCCCCAAACTACCTTGTGAGACCTGCAAGATATCTGGTTCGTTACAACAAACCTAGCACTGGCTCCAATTCCCTTGGATCTTTCCAACTACAACAATGATCATTGTCCTCCCCTCGGGTGGAAACTGATCTGCCTAGAAGACGACAATTAACTTCTGTTAGCGCAACAATGTCCCAACCGGAAGCGTACTCTCCTCCCCATACACCTCCCTCCCAAACCGCGAGATACAACCCCTCCAAGCGTGGATGCCCAGCTCGACCATCCATCCATGATGCTTTCCCAGACGCCATGGATAATCCCACGAGAAAGAGTGAGTCAGGAGATGACCGAGACCCGCATGATCTGTCTCTATCTCCACAACATGCAACACGGACGTCGATTGTCGACAACATGCTTCTTTCGCTCGATCAATTTGCCCCTAGTTCGTCTTTCCTAGACTACCGCCTTTTCAATTCCGCCTTCGAAACCGACCACCACAGCCACTACTCACAAGAATCTGATTCACACGGCCGGTACCGCGGACACACATTCTCATCGTCAGTGTCCTCAGAACCAGACTACGAATACGAAGATGGGAATGACAGATATGCGACAATCACAGCAACCAAGGGTCGGCGTAGCAACAGCACTTCCAATTACCAGATGACATCAAGGCAGGTGGGAAGCTTGCGCGGTGGCACCGGAAACATGCCACGAACAAACACTGCCCGAAAAGGCAGCAAAGGAAGCTCATCCTCCACCGCGGACTACTCGTACACAATCCCCAGAGGACGTATAGATCATGGCTTGGGCCGACGCTCCGCCAGTTTCGATTGTGGACCAAAACGGGCGTTCGCACCTTATGCTAATTCCAGTGTTGGTCAGGACTCGATGTTGTATGACGATCACGATGCTGCACCCACCCCGAGCGTCCCGGCAGGACCGCGGAAGTTTCTTGATTATAGTAGGACACCAATCGCTGCAGCAGCGCGGACACCCGTAGCATCGCGACGGAACAGCATGAAATCTGCCCATGCCCCTCAGATTCGAAAGGTTCGACCTGAAAACATCGGCACGGGGACCCTCAGGGCTCGGGACAACGACTTCTCAAATACGGATGATACGGAGCTTGACCCCCCTCCGGCCATCACGGCATTGATGGATCCTCCTGCTCCCAGCCCGACCATCTCTTTCAACAAGCCAGCTTTCCCTCTCCAAGAACCAATGCCAACTGCCACAATGTCGACAAAGGTCTCCATCAGCAATCCTGCTCCAAACACAAAAGAACGACCAGGGTTTTTCCGGCGTGTCTTTGGTTCCAAGATTCCAGCCCCTGGACCGACAGATGCAGCAAGTACAAACGCCAACGACCTATCACACTTACAAGAGACCGAGAGCAGAGAAGCCAATGGGATTGCCAGCCCAAGGGCACGACTTCAGCAGGCAGCCAAGAGCTCTGCAGGTGCTTCTCCGTCCTCAATTCGCACAGGACCCCATCAGGTTGTGAATAAGAAATCTTCTTTCTTCCGTAGAAGGAAGAGATCGGTGCCTGACCACGCTCCTCCACCGATTGTAATTCCTCAACACCTTGTACCACAGACTAGGGATACTGTGGTGGCTCCAAGTCCTGTGAGCAGCCCGCGGCAGGCCATGAACCTTTGCATCGACGAGGAATTAGACAGGAAAGAAACAGCAGACTGGGAGGCCAAGATTCGGCAACCGGCATTTTTGCAGGCGCAGAAGAAACGAGAAAGTGTTTCAGCTCCCGGAGCTCCCAAAATGAAGACTTCTCTTCCGCCCTCTACTGCCTCTCGTGGCCAGGACCTCTCGCCCCTTGCAGAGAAGGATCGATTTTTGACTGGCGAAGTTTCCACAGAATCTGCTTTGCAGGAGCAGTCTCAGAATTTTGCAGTCTCTGCTACTTTGGACCCCGTTGTGGAAGATTTCTCACGCGGCATCAAATCACAGGTCGATATTCCTCAAATTAATGTAGCCAGATTGGTGCTTCCATCCGAGGACGGCGTTTGCGAATCTCCTGTTGATTCTATGTCAACGGCATCAAACTATTACACCGCTGCGAACACACCACTCATTGAGCAGGAAGATTCTGAACTAGCTGATGACACTGAAGATCAGACGGATGGACCTGGCGAAGCTATCGAAGAAGGACCCACAGCCGAGGACCGGGAACAAGCTCAGAGGCTCTTCGACAGTCAGGAACAGGTGGTAGGCAACGAGCCTGCTGCCGCTTGGCTGGGTGGCCCTGATCGGGCGATGGTTCGCGAGGCATACATGCAACTGTACAACTGGTCTAATCTCAACATTGTTGCCTCTCTTCGGGCTC